AGAGTTTTATAGAAACACAGCCCTGCATGGCCTACAGGGCCCTTTACAGAAAGTTAGCTGATCCCTACTTCAGGGCATTAGGACTCAGCGGTCTCCTGGAAGCTTGGTTGAGGAAAGCTTTGTCTAGATCCACCGTTTCGTTACTTGTTACTCTAATTCTAGTATTTCTGCTAAATTTATTGACCGAATTCTTCTTTTCTCATCAATTATTTTCATATTCAAAATAAAACATAAAGAGGAAACAAAATGCTTCATCCTTCGATTTTTACCAGTTACTGTTTAAAACTTTTATTCCATTCATTTAAACTAAACAGACAGACCAACATAACCCAGTTCTCTCACTTCCCCACCAACACCCTGCCTTCTGTGACCAACAATCTGTTCTCTCTAATGAGCTTTTTTCTTTAGAGATTCCACATATAAGAGGGCTCGTCCTGTGCTTGTCTTCCTCTGACTTACTTCACTTAGCATAATGCCCTCTAGGCCCACTCATGTTGTGGCAGATGGCAGGGTTTCATGCTTTTTTTTTTAATGGCTAAACATTACTCCATTGTGTGTGCACCAACTCTTTATCCATCTAGTGATGGGCACTTAGGTGGCTTCCGTACCTTGACTATTATACATCTTGCTATGAACATGGGTATACATTTATCTTTTATTATAATTAGTTTTGTTTTCTTCGGATAAATACCCAGAAATGGAATTCCTGGATCACATGGTAGTTCTATTTTTCGTTTTTTGAGAAATCTCCATAGTGGCTGCACCAACTTACATTCCCACCAACAGTGTACGAGGTTTTGCTCTAATCCACATCCTCGCCAGCACTGGTTATCTCTTGTCTTTTTGATACTAGCCATTCTGACAGGTATGACGTGGTATCTCACTGTGGTTTTGACTTGACATTGAGCATCTTTTCTGTGTCTTCTTGGGAAAAATGCCTATTCGGGTCGTCCTTTTTTTTAAAAAATAATTTTGTTTATTTATTGGTTGCGTTGGGTCTTCGTTGCTGCACACGGGCTTTCTCTAGTTGCGGTGACCAGGGGCTACTCTTCGCTGTAGTGCGCGAGCTTCTCATTGCCATGGTTTCTCTTGCTGCAGAGCACGGGCTCTAGGCACATGGGCTTCAGTAGTTGTGGCACGTGGGCTCAGTAGTTGTGGCTCATGGGCTCTAGAACACAGGCTCAATAGTTGTGGCGCACGGGCTTACTTGCTCTGCAGTACGTGGCATCTTCCTGTACCAGGGATCAAACTCATGGCCCCTGCGTCGGCAGGTGGATTCGTAACCGCTGCGCCACAAGGTAAGTCCCAAGGTCCTCCATTTTTTAATTGGATTGTTTGGGGTTTGGTGGTTTTCTTTGTTTTTTGGGGGGTTTTTTGCTATTGACTTGTATAAGTTCTTTACCTGCTTGGGGTATTAAGACTATTAGGTATATGATTTGCAAATATCTTCCCCCAATCAGTAGGTTGTCTTTTAATTTTGTGTATGGTTTCCTTTGCTGTGCAGAAGCTATTTCGTTTGCTGTAGGCCCACCTGTTTATTTCTGCTTTTGTGGCTTTTGCCTTTGTAGTAAGATCCAAAAAGCCATCGCCAAGACAGATGTCAAGAAGCTTACTGCCTATGTTTTCTTCCAGTTTTATGGTTTCAGGTGTTACATTCAAGTCTGTATGTCATTTTGAGTTAGTTTTTGTGTATGGGGTGAAGCAGTGGTCCAGTTTTTTATTTTTTTATTTTTTGGCTGTACCAGGTCTTAGTTGAAGCCAGTGGGCTCCTTAGTTGTGGCACGTGAACTCTTAGTTGCAGCATGCATGTGGGATCTAGAGTTCCCTGACCCGGGAGGGATCGATCCTGTGTTCACTGTGTTGGAAGGCAGATTCTTAACCACTGCACCACCAGGGAAGCCCCAGTGGTCCAGTTTTTCCAAAACCATTTATTGAAGAGACTGTCATTTCTGCATTGTATATTCCTGGACTGGTCCTAGACTTTTGTTTGTAGGAAGGTTTTCTTGATGACTAATTCAATCTCCTTACTAGTAATTAATCTGTTATGGTTTTCTATTTCATCATGATTCAGTCTTGGTAAGTTGTATGTTTCTAGAAATTTATCCATTTCTTCTAGGTTGTCCAGTTTGTTGGCAATGTTAACTGTTCTCAGTAGTCTCTTACGATCCTTTGTATCTCTCTGGCACCAGCTGTAATATCTAGTGGTCACTTCTGATTTTATTTATTGGAGTCCTCTTTTTTCTTGTGAGTCTAGCTAAAGGTCTGTCAGTTTTGTTCATCTTTTCAAAGAATCACCTCTTGGTTTCATTGATCTTTTCTAATTCTTTTTAGTTTCCATTTCATTTATTTTTGCTATGATCTTTATTTCCTTCCTTCTAACGGTGGGCTTTTTATGTTCTTCTTTAGCTGGTTCCTTGAGGTGTAAAGTTGGTTTGTGTATTTGAGACTTTACTTTTTTCTTGAGGTAGGCATTTATCCAAACTTTCTTCTTAGAACTGCTTTTGCTGCATCCCATAATTT